CCCTTGGGATTCCTAATGTCACAAAGAGCAAGGGGCAGGAGTGGGATTCAGCCGGTTTGGACCGGTTTGGATGAACCGGTAATTCCGGTGAGTATTTTGGTCCTTCCCACCAGCCCCTGCGCTTTCTTGTCCTATATATGCGTGTTTTTTAGCTCAGCTGATTCATGCAGCACAGCGGATTGCTGCGTGTCAGCTGTTTTACTCACAGGCGCTGACATAGAAGGTACATTTCAAAGCTTTAAAAGGTGGTTATTTTTGAATGCTGCACACACACGTGAAGCGAGCACTCACCGAACCGGTTGTTAAACCGTTTGCATCCCACCACTGGCAAAGGGGGGTAGCAGCTGGCATTCTAAGCCAGACTCTTACAAGCTGGGAATGCCCGGTAGCATATTTCTCCAAACAACCTGACCCCGTTGCTCAAGGATGACCGGCGTGACTTTGTGCCACTGCAGCTGTCACCCTTTTATTAGACGCTACCGAGCAATTGACCTTTGGTGTCACCTTTGTAGAGGAGACTCCTTGTTCCATCCAGGAATTACTTGAGTCGAAGGGGGTCATTGGCTTACAGCCAGTCACCTGGAGAGATCAGATTGTCCTTCTCGACAATCCGCATGTGCATTTAAAACATGGCAGATCCTCTCCGGCCACCTTTTCTCCCCAACTGGAACAAGACGTTATTGTTCATGACTGTGTCCAAACCATTGCTCAGGTGTTTTCCGGCTGTCTGGATCCACCTGAGGATGCGGATAGGGACCTGTCTACAGATGGCAGCAGCTTCATGTACCAAGGAGAAAGGCTGGCTGGGTATGCTGTGATCACTTTGGACCAAGTATTGAAAGCAGCAGCCCTCCCTGCAGGAACCTCAGCCCAAAAGGCCGAGTCGTGGCCTTGACAAGAGACTTTGAGTTATCACGGTTGTTAATATTTGCACAGATAGTAAATTTGCTTTGGGTCCCCTACATGTACTTGGTGCCTTGTGGAAGGAGCTTGGGCTGCTGGACATCCAAGGTACCCCTGTTAAATATGGACCTGAAATATTGAGATTATTGGATGCTGTTTTGCTTCCTAGCAAGGTAGTTATTATGCATGTAGGAGCCCACGATAAGGATGACAGTAAACATGGCCAGGGCAATGTCACCAAGTCTGATGCCTCAGGTCCCCTCTCCCCTTGGTATGTCTGTGCACTCCTTCCTTCTCACCTGCCTGCTGGCTCCTTCGTATGCCTCGCAGGAGAGGCCCAAGGCATGTAATATGGGTGTTGTTTATCAGGGGAATTGGTTAGAAAAGGATGGGAAAAGGCTTCTCCCAGGACATGAGGGAATTATTATATACAAGTAAACATGGGGGTTCCAAGGCTGTAGCCAAATCTCTTCTAAAGGACTGTATTTGACCAGAGATCTTTGATAAGGCTCTTAAGTGTGTTGGTCAGGCAATGGGTTGTTTGTCCAAGAAACAATCCAGCAAATCTATGCTCCTGCCAATTGATTTTGGGAAGTTGGTTTTACTGAACTGCTGAGGAAACAGGCTTTCCATACTTGCTGGTTTTGGTGGGTGCTTTCTCTGGGTGAGCCCTTCCCTTGCCACACCAACAAGGCACGTGACGTGGTCAAGGCCCTTTTGAAGGAAAACATTCCATGTTTCCCTCTTCCCTATCAAGGAATTGATGGGTGATGGTGGAGATAAAGAATTGATCAATTCTTTATCTCCACCATCACCCAGCAAGTGGCCCATGCCTTGGGCATTGATTGGCAGCTTCATTTTGCTTATTGGCCAAGATCAAAAGGTTGGCAAATACTTATGGGCAAAACGTTCACACAAAAACCACCAGTTGGGATCCCAAATGTGCTTTTGTAAAGAAGCAATCAGACTTTCTGGTTTTTCCTTGAAGACGTGTCATTCCCCTTTTCTGGTGAGAACTCCCTGTGCTCCTCCCTCTGCTCCTCTTTGGAAGAGAATCAGAGACTTGCAACATTAATATCAGCCTTGATAAATAGACCAGACATGAAACAAGACCAGATGTACTAATTCTACTTTATTGTAAAATTATATTAACAGAAACTTGCAAGTCTGCAGGTACAAATTTCCCACTGTCTCCTTTACAGCCTGAGAAACTAGNCCCCAAGACTTTCAAAATAGTCCTCCTATCTTTGGAAATGTGTTGGTCACTGGTGGCCAGTTGATGATACCTCTGCAGTTCTATTGCAATACGTAGATGTCTTGCTCTTGGCCGCCCCTTCTGAGGATAATTGTCTTTTGAATTCTGCTTTTTTATTATAGCCGCTGGGGCTATAAGGCTTCTCGTGCTAAGGCACAGCTTTTTCCTCAGGAGGTCAGGGATTTAGGTTATATTCTATCTCAGGATACTAGGAAGCTCTCATAGGAGCAGATCCAAGCTCTCTGTCTTCTGAAACCACCTAAAACTAAACACCAGCTACAAAGCTGCTGGGAGATAGCCAGGTTTTGCTGCATTTGGATACCCAATTTCACTTTGACGGCAAAGCCCTTCTATCAAACTACAAAAGACTCTGATGTGGTCCCTTTTGAGCGGATAAAAGACTGCCAGATGCTGTTTGATAGTATTAAAACCTCTTTAAATGCAAGCTCTGCCCTTGGGATTCCTAATGTCACAAAGAGCAAGGGGCAGGAGTGGGATTCAGCCGGTTTGGACCGGTTTGGATGAACCGGTAATTCCGGTGAGTATTTTGGTCCTTCCCACCAGCCCCTGCGCTTTCTTGTCCTATATATGCGTGTTTTTTAGCTCAGCTGATTCATGCAGCACAGCGGATTGCTGCGTGTCAGCTGTTTTACTCACAGGCGCTGACATAGAAGGTACATTTCAAAGCTTTAAAAGGTGGTTATTTTTGAATGCTGCACACACACGTGAAGCGAGCACTCACCGAACCGGTTGTTAAACCGTTTGCATCCCACCACTGGCAAAGGGGGGTAGCAGCTGGCATTCTAAGCCAGACTCTTACAAGCTGGGAATGCCCGGTAGCATATTTCTCCAAACAACCTGACCCCGTTGCTCAAGGATGACCGGCGTGACTTTGTGCCACTGCAGCTGTCACCCTTTTATTAGACGCTACCGAGCAATTGACCTTTGGTGTCACCTTTGTAGAGGAGACTCCTTGTTCCATCCAGGAATTACTTGAGTCGAAGGGGGTCATTGGCTTACAGCCAGTCACCTGGAGAGATCAGATTGTCCTTCTCGACAATCCGCATGTGCATTTAAAACATGGCAGATCCTCTCCGGCCACCTTTTCTCCCCAACTGGAACAAGACGTTATTGTTCATGACTGTGTCCAAACCATTGCTCAGGTGTTTTCCGGCTGTCTGGATCCACCTGAGGATGCGGATAGGGACCTGTCTACAGATGGCAGCAGCTTCATGTACCAAGGAGAAAGGCTGGCTGGGTATGCTGTGATCACTTTGGACCAAGTATTGAAAGCAGCAGCCCTCCCTGCAGGAACCTCAGCCCAAAAGGCCGAGTCGTGGCCTTGACAAGAGACTTTGAGTTATCACGGTTGTTAATATTTGCACAGATAGTAAATTTGCTTTGGGTCCCCTACATGTACTTGGTGCCTTGTGGAAGGAGCTTGGGCTGCTGGACATCCAAGGTACCCCTGTTAAATATGGACCTGAAATATTGAGATTATTGGATGCTGTTTTGCTTCCTAGCAAGGTAGTTATTATGCATGTAGGAGCCCACGATAAGGATGACAGTAAACATGGCCAGGGCAATGTCACCAAGTCTGATGCCTCAGGTCCCCTCTCCCCTTGGTATGTCTGTGCACTCCTTCCTTCTCACCTGCCTGCTGGCTCCTTCGTATGCCTCGCAGGAGAGGCCCAAGGCATGTAATATGGGTGTTGTTTATCAGGGGAATTGGTTAGAAAAGGATGGGAAAAGGCTTCTCCCAGGACATGAGGGAATTATTATATACAAGTAAACATGGGGGTTCCAAGGCTGTAGCCAAATCTCTTCTAAAGGACTGTATTTGACCAGAGATCTTTGATAAGGCTCTTAAGTGTGTTGGTCAGGCAATGGGTTGTTTGTCCAAGAAACAATCCAGCAAATCTATGCTCCTGCCAATTGATTTTGGGAAGTTGGTTTTACTGAACTGCTGAGGAAACAGGCTTTCCATACTTGCTGGTTTTGGTGGGTGCTTTCTCTGGGTGAGCCCTTCCCTTGCCACACCAACAAGGCACGTGACGTGGTCAAGGCCCTTTTGAAGGAAAACATTCCATGTTTCCCTCTTCCCTATCAAGGAATTGATGGGTGATGGTGGAGATAAAGAATTGATCAATTCTTTATCTCCACCATCACCCAGCAAGTGGCCCATGCCTTGGGCATTGATTGGCAGCTTCATTTTGCTTATTGGCCAAGATCAAAAGGTTGGCAAATACTTATGGGCAAAACGTTCACACAAAAACCACCAGTTGGGATCCCAAATGTGCTTTTGTAAAGAAGCAATCAGACTTTCTGGTTTTTCCTTGAAGACGTGTCATTCCCCTTTTCTGGTGAGAACTCCCTGTGCTCCTCCCTCTGCTCCTCTTTGGAAGAGAATCAGAGACTTGCAACATTAATATCAGCCTTGATAAATAGACCAGACATGAAACAAGACCAGATGTACTAATTCTACTTTATTGTAAAATTATATTAACAGAAACTTGCAAGTCTGCAGGTACAAATTTCCCACTGTCTCCTTTACAGCCTGAGAAACTAGGGAGGGTCTCTTCCGAGTCTCTTGCTCCACCCACCATACAGCTGCAGGCTATGCCACCTCTTATCTGACCATTCCTTTGGCAGGCTCTCTGAGCCCAGCCTTCCAGGGTCTTTGCCACGTTATGTTTTCTGAAACGTTGCTGCTGCTCTGTGGGAACCTGAAAACAGTATGGTGTGCTCTGTGCTTCTTGAAACTACGGTGGGGAAGTGGGAACCATCACATTAACAACCAAACACGGGGGGGCGGGGGGGGGGGGGCAGCCAGCCCTTCAGTCTCTCCAGCGCAGAGAAAGCTTCAGTACTGCAGCCATATGTGTATTCATGTTCCTTCCCCACACTAGCAGAAGAAACAGCAGCCATTTTCTGCGTGGGGAAGGTTTCCATTTCCATGGGGATTCAGAGGACTCTTCCCCCCAGGTCTTGTGTAGCAGTCACATTATCCAGGTTCCCAAACAGGATTTCACTGATGTATTGTAGGGTACGGTTGTCAAAGATCATGTTGAGATGCTCAGCTCCAGGCAGCTCCAGGACATGGACCTTCTGATGCTGCTGCTTGCGCCACTCCTTACACAGCTCTATGCTGCGCCAGCTAATCATGTCATCCCCGTCCCCATAGATAATCTCCACCGGGTCCTCGTAGGGAAACTGGTCGTTGTAAATGTAGGTCTCTGGAGTGGGGTGCCCAGTGCCAAACAGGCAATAGACCTCCACGCCGGGAGGTGGCAGCCCTGCCAGAAGCTCCTTGCTGTCATTCCACATGAACCAGCCGTCTTCAAAGTTGATATCATTGAAGAACCGCTGGTAGTCCCGGTAGGTGTAATTGTAGAAGGGGGTAGAGATGAAGATGTGTGTCTCCGGCCAGGCTGTGTGGGTGGGGAATAACCAGGGACTGTTGGTGGAGATTCGCTTCTCTTCACGCAATTTAATGCTGGACATAATAGGAATGCCCTGATGGTCACCTGCAAAGGACACCAGTAGAATCACATTATTCTACTGCCACTTTCAGGTTTGCTAATTTGCAATAAAAAATTGCATTACAATGTAATTCAGCCACAGAGGACGGCCAATGAATAAACTTAACAGGGATTCTTCCCTCTTCTTAAAGCTAAACCGGGTGCAAAAACGGAAACAGATCGATGCCTCTCCGTTTTTCCCCCAGAAAGCGTGGGGGCTGTGGACAAGATACACCCAGGATCTTTAGTGGGCAGAAAGCTGCTGGTGCAGCCCAGCTCCATGCAGGCCCCAGGAAGACACGGCTGGGCAGCACCAGGGCAGCTACTCACCTGAAGCCATGACCCGCATGGGTTTCACCGCTCCCCCCCAGGGGGCCCCCAGGGAAATGAAGCCCTGAACAAAGCGGTCCTTCCAGGCCTGTGGCTGCTGGACCAGGAAGTAGAGGATGTGGAGGTTGCCAAGGCTGTGGCCAATCAGGAAAACCGGCTTCTGGTGGGCTTCAAACATCTCTTCGATGAGGCCCCGCAGCTTCAAATAGTAAACCTCTTGGTCGGCTGTGGAAAGAGGAGGAAGAGTATGGGAAGGAAACCACACCCCACTCCCACCCCCTGGGGTCCAGGGGGAATCTCCCCATGCTGTGTCCAGAGCAGTGCTGGAGGGCTCCTCCCCACCCCGCCCGAGGCTGCAGGCAAACCACCTTTGAGGAGGGGGTGGAGATGGTGAGGGGTGAGGGGTAGGTGAGGGGTAGACCAAGGGGGGAATTGGGGTGGGATGCTCCTGGGGAAGACCCCACTTCTCCCCCACATGGCTCAGCCCTGATGCTGAGGCTCTGAGTCCTGGGTGGCCTCCAGTTGTCCCCAAGCGCCGCGTTGGGCTGTAATGAAGGATGCCCAAAGCTGCACTTGCTGAATTTCATTCCCCTCCATCCCGGATCTCTCCAGTCGCTCCTTTTGTGTCACATTTTATTTGTCAGTTTGTTGTGTCAGGGTTTCAAATACAGACAAGCCAGGGATAGGTGGGAAATATTAAATCCCCCTGATGGTGTGTGATATTATGAGGCAGACCTGGCCCATTTTCTTCAATTCTTCTTAACCCAGATTTGTGAAAGGAAAATCCTTAACTGGGAAAAAGTTAATGCCATTTTCTTTTTCCTTGGGGAGCAGAAAATGGTTTCCTTTGCACCGTATCCTGATCCTGTGGCTGCTTTGCTGGGGCCACTGAAAAAAATGGAACGACCAATGGAAAGCCTGGAAGGAATGATCAGGCTTTAGTGATGGTTTGATTGACTGGTTGATACTAAAAGGCTTACATAGCCGCTTGGAAGAACCGTAAAGCATGCTGGAAAAATGGGCTGCAGGCTCTGAGAGGGAGACAGCTGATGGGGATGCAGCAGCTGCCTTGCACTTTGGAAGGGGTTGAGCCCATCCTCCCTGCTCCCCTGCCTCTGCCCAGGCATACTCACTGGGGCCAAGCCTCCAGTCGTAGGGAGCGGCTCTCACGCTCTGATCACGCACGTAGCCGTTGTTGACCAGGTGCTGCACCAGGGTGTGCATGTAGCCTAGAGCAAGGAAGAGAAGGGAGGTGAGAGGAGGCCAGGGCGACCTCCAGGGAATGGAGTCCAGGCAGGGGCTTCAAGGCCTCCCTGGAAGTTCTGCCCCTCTTCTCCCCCCACAAACCATTCCTGACTCCCTCAGAAGAAGCCAAGCGGTTTTTAGAGAAAGCACCAAGATCAAAGGGATTCCAAAGAAGGTCATGCAGATCCTGCACGCCTGGTAGCAACTTCTGAAGTCCACAGGGC